GTGCAAGTGTCTTGAGAAGTGCAAGTGTCTTGAGAAGTGCAAGTGTCTTGAGAAGTGCAAGTGTCTTGAGAAGTGCAAGTGTCTTGAGAAGTGCAAGTGTCTTGAGAAGTGCAAGTGTCTTGAGAAGTGCAAGTGTCTTGAGAAGTGCAAGTGTCTGAGAGTGCAAGTGTCTGAGAGTGCAAGTGTCTGAGAGTGCAAGTGTCTGAGAGTGCAAGTGTCTGAGAGTGCAAGTGTCTGAGAGTGCAAGGTCTGAGAGTGCAAGTGTCTGAGAAGTGCAAGTGTCTGAGAGTGCAAGTGTCTGAGAAGTGCAAGTGCAAGGCTGCAGCCAGACCGCTGTTTTTACATGAGCCAGACCCTTCTCCTCAGTTCAGTGAACTTGTGACTCGAGATCCGCACAGACTGATTCAGTCCAAATCGTGAACGAACAATTCAGGTCGTTTCGTGAACCTGTTTTGTTCAACCGATACATTGTAAAGATCCGACTCAAAAGAACGATTCGCTGAGGAATCAGACAACGCTGAGCGAAAAAGCGAGTCCAGCTAGAGCTGTCAACGACCATTTCTCTCCCAGATCCACTTTCTGTCTCGGCTCTCATATGGACAGCAATGTGGATGTGAACACAGAAAGTGATTGGCAGCAAAGGTGAGTTGGATGCGAGCGCAAAGATGATTTCAGTCCAGCGGTGCAGTGTGATCGGTGATGCTTTTATATCGTGTGCTTAGGGTGGTTTGGAAGGGAGTGTAGTGTGCGCTGAGAAACACATATGTGGCCTGGCGTTCATTGTACTCCGATTTGCAAGTTAATAAGTCGACCTCACAGAAACGCACCTTGTTTAGACGTATATGTTTGCACTTTGTTCCTGCAGTTTTATTCTGGTCCCAAGCGGATGATGGGTTTCGCGTCTGACGTGGCGCTCATTTGCTGCCTATTTAAATAACCAACACACCGCAGCTATCCATCTGCAACAATAACCGCACGCTGTTGTAGGAATGGGGAAAGCATATGAAATGTGTTGTGGCGCCACTGTATGATCTGACTTGAAGAAGAAGGTGCTATCTAAAATATTATGGAAATAGTATTGGTACAGTGATGGTGTCAGATGGTAGTATTATGAATCTTTGATATACAGCGTTGCTAAATCATTACCATAGATATGTACCATGATATTCACATGCCACTGTGAAGTACTACAATTGGAAATATCTCAGCTTCCTGTATTCAGTTAGTTGGCTTAATCTTGTTGTTATTCACGGTGCTTTTATTCTATTTTTGATGATACTCAATGCTGCGTATCACTTTGGAGGTTAGAAAGATTAATAGTCATTTTGCCTCATAAAGGAATCGGGAACCAGTAAATGAAACCTGTTCCTCTCTGTTTAAATGGTTAGACAATCTCTATTTACAGCAGAGGATGTATTTTCTGTCTAGGCCATATCTAGGAACGCTGGGCCCCTGATCATTTTTAAAATAAGGTAAAACATGTTAACCGGGCGTATTGAATTGCTTCCGCCTTGAACACTGTTAGCTACAGCCCTAGACTTGCATGAGGTAGATCAGAAAGGATATTTTCCTATTTTATATTTTACCAGGCTGTGGTAGAAAACAATGCAATACAGATGCTGAGATGCACTATATTTGCTTTCAGTGCAATTAAAAGTATGTCTGATGCAGATGTCTGTGAGGATTAAGATAATACTAGAGTTATTGTGTGAGCAGTCAGGGAAGAAAAAGATATCAGCCTGCAAGATATCAAGATCTGTTGTTGGGGGTTTTAGTTTAGGTATTTGATAAGTCTGTAATGTTTCAAATGGATTATTTTTATTGTTACATATTTAACTTTTTATTTATAGAATGATTTTGAAGAACAACCTTGTATTGTAAATGCATACAGCACCATAGAGCCCAAGACAAGCAGAATAAAAAGTATTTTAGTTTTATCTATGCTATTTTTAGCATATTATTTGTCTTTGTTAATCTTAGCATTTATTAATTCTAAATATGAATTGTAATTTGTAATTATTTAACATATTACTGTTCTGTTTAACCAGAGATGTGTGATGAAAACCAGTCCTAAAGCAGGGCAAAGCCAATCAGGTTAGTTTCACATTTTTAAAATAATTTCTGCCATCTTATATCACAAATAGATCTTCTGTAATAATGGTAGCAGATAGTAATACCATGCCACTGAATGATTAACTTATTCATGTAACATGGTATTTACAAGGTTCTTCAAAGAATACCATGGAATTATCATGATACATGTTCAAAAAATATTAGAAAAATGACACCACCTGCCGTATCAGGTCCCTTTTTGGTACTTATTGTGAGTGTAAGATTACTAATTTTTACATCCTATTTTTTGTTTACATCCTTATATTTCAGTGTAGACAAACAATTTTCTGTGAATGTGTGAGACTTTATGAATGTGTGAGACAATTCTTTAGCCGCTCTCGGCAAATAGAGGAATAACAAAGTGCAGTAATCTGTAAAACTAATTGCACTACAATGCAGAGTGTTTGATTATGATAATAAATTAATATCATATGATAACATACAAATACCATTTTGCAATATCAAACAGCATAACTCCGTTTTTGTACAGCTAAATGAACTAGAAGCGACTGACACTGGAAGCTCTGCACATTCAAGCCACAGATGGCTGCACCGCTTTTATGTTATAAAAAAGTGAATGTTATATTATATGATATCATGTTTACAAACTGTTATTCTCAGTTACTATGAGCAGTGAGCTCAGTGTGCCAATGGGCTCCCCCGCACCCGGGGGCTCAGACCGGCTGCAGGATGGCGGTGGGATGGACTACAGGGATTGGGTTCGACGCAGCTATCTGGAGCTGGTCACCTCCAACCACCACTCGGTCCAGGCTCTCTCATGGAGGAAACTCTACCTCAGCAGGGCCAAGCTCAAAGCCTCCAGCCGAACCTCAGCCCTGCTGTCTGGCTTTGCCATGGTGAGTATATGGCATGCTGTGATAAGTGTGAGCTATCAAATGTATGTGACTCTTGTAATGGCCACACTCTTTTGTAGATTGTATTTCAGTGAGTGTTTCAGGAAACTGTTGCTAAACTTCAAACAAAGGGTGTGGGCTGTTCTTAAATTCTTAGAAGCATGAGATGGTTTGGAGATAAGTTTGTCTTGAATCATTGTCTGATGGAACTTTGTCTAACCACTTTTGGCCAAGATAGAGCATAACAGTGAGCACCTGCTTGACCGGAAGTATTTTTCACATTCGTTTTCTCCATAGGGACTTAAAGAGTTACGAAACCAACCAGTTCTGAGATGAATTGTAACATTACAAATCTTGATTTGAAGCAAACAAACGACTTTAGGTAGTTCAATTATTATAATCCTAGCTATTTTATTATGGGATACAATAGAATCTTTATGCAAGTGATTTATAGTTATTGACTGAAGTATAAAACAATTAATCCTTTTGCCTTTATTGTGACAGGACAGATCAGAATTGACAGGAAGCGAAGTGGGAGAGAGAGAAGGGGGGCGGGATCGGGAAAGGTCCTTGAGTCGGGATTCGAACACGGGACGCCCGTAGCGCAACGGGCGCTGTATGTCAGCGCGCTCCCCACAAGGCTATTGGCACCAACAAACAATTTATTTTTAGTTTATCCCAAAATATTCAGTCATAAACAAGAGCGTGTAGTCGGCGCCAATAGCCGCTACGAGTTGCACTCGAGTTTAAGTCCTGGCTTGTGGACCTTTCCCGATCCCAACCCCCCTCCCCCCTCCCACTTCACTTCCTGTCTACAATGCCGTCCTATCCTAATAAAAGCCAAAAACGCCCAAAAAAAAAACAAGAGCGTGTAGGCCAACTGCATCATTTGCAGTGATTCATGGGAGTGGGCAGTAGTTATTGAGCTCAATTTCCATAGTAACAACAACATCTCTTAATTGGTGGATTTTTATTCAGGATTGCAGGAAATTCAGGCTGCATTTATTTGATTTATTCGATCAAAAATAGTGAAAGTATTATTGTGAAATATTACAATTTTAAATAACTTTTCTATTATTTAAATCAATTTTAAAATGTAATTTATTCCTGTGATGCAAAGCTGAATTTTCACCATCATTACTCTAGTCTTCAGTGTCACACGATCCTTCTAATATTATGATTTGCTGCTCAAAAAAAAAAAATTGTTGAAATCCATTGTGCTGCTTAACTTTTTATGTATTTATTTTATTATTTTTTGAAACCATGATACTTTTTTCAGGATTATTTGATGAATAAAAAGGACAAAATAACAGCATTTATTTGAAAATGGATCATTTGTAACATTGGACGTGACCATTAGCAGTTTTAATTTCATTGTTTCTAATGTGGTTGTGACCAGGTGGCCATGGTGGAGGTGCAGCTGGAGATGCAGTACAACTACCCCCGGGTCCTGCTCATTGCCTTCAGTGTGTGTACCACAGTGCTGGTGGCCGTCCACCTGTTCGCCCTCCTCATCAGCACTTGCATCCTGCCCAACGTGGAAGCCGTCAGCAACATCCACAATCTCAACTCTGTCTCCGAGTCGCCCCACGAGAGAATGCACCACTATATTGAGCTGGCCTGGGGCTTTTCCACCGCTTTGGGGATCCTTTTGTTCCTGGCAGAGGTGGTGCTCCTCTGCTGGATAAAGTTCTTGCCGGTTGACTCTGGGGCGCAACCAGTCCTGGCAGCCCTTAAGCAGAACTGCAGCACTCCTGCGGTTCAGCCCGGCCACAGCGGCTGGCAGGCGGCTTTGGCCTCCACCATCATCATGGTGCCAGTTGGATTCATCTTTGTGGTGTTCACCATCCACTTCTACCGCTCGCTAGTGCGCCACAAAACAGAGCGGCACCATCAAGAGATCGAGGAACTGCACAAAATCAAGGTGCAGCTGGATGGCCATGAGCGAGGCCTACAGGCGGTGTGAGATCCAGGGATGCCCTTTGTTTCCCCGCAGTGTTCCATCGCTTGACTCTTCAAGCTTACAAGCACATTTAAACTCCTCCTTGAGTCTTTCGGGCTTATTTTCTGTTTTCGTCTGAGAGGAAATGCCTTGTTACCTGGTGGGAGGATTACTTGTGTAGAAACTGAGAAAGATTTACAGCAAAAAGACGCACGTTTACAAGGTTTCTACTGCAAGGGCTATTTATTTTGTATTTCTTTAGGCTGTAGGTCATTTGGACTTGTTTTTAAGTGCCATTTTCTGTTTCAATGCCTCCTACATATACAAAAAAAGGATATAACGGAGTGGCTTTCTTTTTATATTGTTTGCCTTTTTCTCTTCCTTTTGCGGTGCCATCCTGGATCGATAGTGTGCTACAGATAATGAGACCAAATGAGTTGGTCTTGGATCCATTATGGATCACAGCTGCCAGAGTCACTGCCAGAGTATCTTTAACTGCAATATCCAGCTTTTACAATGTACATGCTTGTTTGAGCTTCAGTTTAAAGTGATCGTTCACTCAAAAACGAACATTGTCATCATTAATCACCCTCACGTTGTTTCAAACCTCTGTGACTTTCTTTTGCGCAAAAGAAGATATTTTGCTTTTGTCCATACCGGGAAGGTCAGTTGGTTCAGTGTCTTTCGCTGTATGGACAAAATAGCATGTAAGAAGGTGATAACGCTTTATGTGAGGGTGAGTAAATGACCGAATGTTCATTTCCCTTTAAGAAAACAAAAACTAAAAAAAGTGATGCACCCCGTATAGTTTGTCTGTGTTAGTAGTGGATCTATAATACTGTAATCTTTCAGCCTGCAGAGTTGTCGTCCCAAAAAAGGATTCATCTTAAATCTGTTACAGAAGTATCGCTCGTACTACGCCTATATGTAGTGCAGTATTTTTAGCTTGGGTGTGAAATCTAGACGCTTTAGTCAGACTCACTGCACGCTTGTATTTCATTGAAGGTTTTGCATGTGTGATATAATGCACTGTCACTTGTCAAGCACAAAGGTGGAGTTTTTAATCCATATTTCATACAAGGCCTATTGAATGTTATTCTTGTGGGCTACTAGGAGTTTACACATTGTCGATGTCAATAACCAGAGTCAATGATGATTTGCTCCAACAAATGACTTTAATGGGCACAGTTTGTTATAAAAATACTTGAGAAAGACAAAAAAGCTTTGCCGATCTGAAACAGTTTAATGTGAACCAAGTTGGCAGTCCTGTCGTCAAGCTCAAAATAATGTCTAATACTTAAGTCAATTTGAGGAAAACATTCCAGGGGGAAAATGAAGTCGGACCAATTTCTGCCTGCCTTAAATAATTAAACGGACAAAAGTGCACTTGAAGTATAGTCCATGGAAATGATGTGTCCGGTGTGTTTTCAGAGTATGCAGACTGATTTCATCTGCTGTAGGTCTTTCAGAACACAGAGTTATGGTTGGTGCTTCATTTCATGCCTTAAGCATTCATTTCTGACACCGTCAATTCTGTAACCAGGCAAAGTGAAGCACTACTCGTTTCATAGCTCAGACAAGTGAACTTGACCAAAATTGTGTGTACTCTGCTTGTGGGGGCTTTAAAAAGCACTTTTCTTTTTGTGTATGTGTGCAAAAATACTGTTAGTGTCATTTTTGATAGTTCTGTTGCATCGTGCCACACTATCAATAGATAAACGCATATGTGACCCTGGAGCACAAAACCAGTCATAAGGGTCAATTTTTCAAAATTGAGATTTATACATCATCGGAACGCTGAATAAATCAGCTTTCCATTGATGTATGGTTTGTTAAGGATAGGACAATATTTGGCTAAGATGCAACTATTTGAAAATCTGGAATCTGAGGGTGCAAAAAAATCTAAATATTGAGAAAATTGCCTTTAAAGTTGTCCAAATGAAGTTCTTAGCAATGCATTTAATTTAAGAATTAAGAATTTACTAAAATTAAGTTTTGATATATTTACGGTAGGAAATTTACAAAATATCTTCATGGAACATGATCTTTACTTAATTTCCTAATGATTTTTGGCATAAAAGAAAAATCAATAATTTTGACCCATACAATGTATTTTTGGCTATTGCTACAAATATACCCGTGACTTAAGACTGGTTTTGTGCTCCAGGGTCACACATATATATATATATATATATAGTGTGAAACAGGTTTTTTTTGCGTCTAGAACATGTAGCCGACTATTATCGAAATGCTTTGTTGAGCATGTCCTTTCACTCTGTCTGTACTTGAATGTTAATTTATGTCAAATAAACGCAACCTATTTTGTTTACTTCAAATCTTTATTTATAATTTCTGTGTCCAATGGACATTTGACATGCCTCTGTGAATGAATCGGCAGACAACCTTAAGAGGATGAGTCATGAAAATGCCTGGGTCATGCCACTCCAATCTCATGTCCATTACGATATCTTATTAAAATAGCTAATTACTTATACATCTTTGTAGTATTTTGTTGTACCGTCCTTAATGTTTAAAAGTTTTATCTTTTTTTTATTTTTTATTTTTTTAAGAATTTAGATTCTTTTTTTGTAAAGATTGCTGTACTACAGAAAGAAAAAAAATTATTTATTATCATTTGGGAAATGTGCTTAATTCCTTAATGTTACAATGTAACTAATGTCACAATGCAAACAATTTGTTACAACACAAAATGGTACAGAAATGGGATTCATATTCTCTTCATGCTAAATATAATGCCTCTTTTTTTATTTCAATTTTTTTGGTAAAATGTGGCTGAACAAGTTTGTGTGAGATTCACATTAGTGCATAAGACTGATCCTGGTCAGTATCTGTTGCTCCTGGGAAGCATGTGAATGGTCAGGTTTCACAGCTGTGATTGGCAGGCACACATGAAGTGAGGCTGCAGTCAATTACATGGCAACACGCTGGCTAAGAAAGGCATTGCAAATGAGATTAAAGCAAATATGTGTCTAGTTATAATGCAGAAAATTGCTAAATGCCTAATACACCTTCAAAAAAAACAGCAACCTTTAATGGTGAATAGAGTTATTCTATGCATTTGGAATAGCATATTTCTGCATTACATAGTATGAATACTGTGCATTGTTTACACATTTTCTACATGAAACGCATAACATATACTTTTTGCAAAATGTTTACAACAATGTGATGTTCTCAGCTTCTCCAAAGAGATGAATGCATTGGAAGTAATATCTGTCAAGAGATAAGATGTTTTACACTAGATTTTCACATTAGATTGCAGTGTACCTGCAGTTAGCAGTATGCTTGCTTGCTTAGACTCCACACACAGCCAACCTATGGAAAGCTCTCGTTTCTTGTGTTTTTGAGAAGTTACAAATAACCAAACCAAATGAATTAGCAGCCAGGAGTTTGAGAGCAGCCTAACCTCTTTTGACCTCAGCTGCCTTGTCCAAATACCCACACTTGCGGTCTTTGCACTTGACCACTTGACTACTTATATGACGTATTTCCTGTATTTGGTCAGTGAGCATGAAGACCACGAGTGTGTGTAGAACTTTTAATTACCTGAAGGGACACACTATAGTGTTGTAAAACTGCAAGCGTTTACAAAGCTTTATTTTCAATACTTTGCATTTTAAAATCAACTTCTAAATGTCTGTTCAGTAGTCCCTATAACAGATGACACAATTTAATTTTATGGTGCTTCTAATTAAGTAATAAAATGTAGTTGCAAATGTTGTACAAAATAATTATCACCACTACTCATTTGCACCAATAAAACTTGCAACTCTTTGTTTTACTACCAAATTATTTGTAATATCTAACTATTATTAATATTTAAAATACATTGGAAAGGTTTCCATGACCTGTCGCGAGATCTCGGCAAAAAGTCCCACGATTTATTTCCACAACATGATGCATGATCTGTTATCCGTTATAGGGACTACTGAACAACAGACATTTAGAAGTTGATATTAAAATGCAAAGTATTGAAAATAAAAATAAAGCTTTGTAAACGCTTGCATTTTTACAACACTATAGTGTGTCCCTTCAGGTAATGAAAAGTTCTACACAAACTTGTGGTCTTCATGCTCACATGAACACTTGGACCAAATACAGGAAATACGTCATAGAAGTAGTCAAGTGGTCAAGTGCAAAGACCGCAAGTGTGGGTTTTTGGACAAGGCAATAGTGTGGATTTAGTGTGCATTAAGGGCACTGTGCTTTGGCGTTTTTAAGAACTGGGACAGTCTTGTGCACTTACTTCCTGTTGCGCGCACGTGCTGTTAAGTGGCCAAGACCACAAGTGTGGGTATTTGGACAAGGGGAGTGACATGAATTAACTCTCTAAATTACTGATGATCCCTTGGGCTTGATTAGTAATTCAGGTGAAGCTGTGTTACGCTACAGGCTAATGATGATAAATGTGAACAGGTGTGCAGAAGAGGCCTCTAGTGACTAGACAAACTATAAAGGTTGAAAGGCAAAGACAGTTTATTTGTTATTTAGTTAGTCAATGACTTGACTTGCCTATTTTTTGTTAAGAAACGAGCAGGTTTGAGGGAAAAGTTAGGGTTTACATTTACATAATTTTGCAGACACTTTTGTCCAAAGCGACTTAACAAATGAGGAGACCAGTAGAAGCAATCAGGTGAACAAGAGAGCAACAGTATACAAGTGCTGTGACAAATCTCAGTTAGTCTAGCACAGTACACATAGCTAGTGTTTTTTTTTTAATAGAATAGAATGGGTAAGTGTTGGCATTAGTTGGTCAAGTGCTGGTGAAAATTGTCTTTAGACATTTTTTGAAATTGGCTAAAGACTCAGCTGTTTGAATTGTGATAGGGAGGTCATTCCACCAGCTGGGCACAGTCCAGGAAAAGGTCCGTGAAGGTGATTTTGTACAAGGTGCCGTTCACTTGCAGAACGCAAGCTTCTGGAGGGTGCGTAAGTTTGAACTAGCGAGTTTAGGTATATTGGTGCACATTTGGGTATATTGGTGGAGTTTAGGTATACAGTTATTGTCTTGTAGGCAAACATCAGTACCTTAAATTTGATGCGAGCAGCTACTGGTAGCCAGTGTAAACTAATGAAGGTGTAATGTGTTTTTTTTTTTTTTTTTTTGGCTCCTGTAATGTTTTTTTTTTTTTTTTTTTTTTGGCTCGTTAAGGACCACTCTTGCTGCTGCATTTTGGATCAGTTGCAGAGGCTTGATGGTACGTGCGGGAAGGCCCGCCAAGAGAGCATTACCATAGTCCAGTCCTAAGAGAACAAGAGCTTGGACAAGGAGTTGTGCAGCTTGTTCTGATAGGACGGGTCTAATTTTCCTGTTGTATAAGACAAATCTGCAGGACCGGGCCGTTGTAGCAATATGGTCTGTGAAGCGTAACTGATCATCTTTCCCAACTCCAAGGTTCTTGGCTGTCCTGGAAGGAGTTATGGTTAGAGAAGTTGATGAAGTGTTGGGTTGGCTGAGACCGCAAACAGTTCGGTCTTGACAAGGTTGAGTTGAAGGTGATGGTCCTCCATCCAGCTAGAAGTCTCTCAGACAGGCTGTAATGTGACCAGCTACCGTCGGATCATCTGGTTGGAATGAGAAGTAGAGTTGAGTGTCATGAGCATAGCAGTGATAAGAAAAGCCATGCTTCTGAATGACCGATCCTAATGAGGACATGTAGATGGAGAAGAGGTCCAAGCACTGAGCCTTGAGGAACCCCAGCAGCAAGAAGTTGTGACTTCGAAACCTCACCCATCCAAGACACCCTGAAAGACCTACCTGAGAGGTAAGACTTGAACCATTGGAGTGCGGTTCCTGAGATGCCCATCTTTATGAGGGTGGACAGGAGGATCTGGTGGTTAACGGTGTCAAAAGCTGCAGACAGATCCAGCAAGATGAGTACTGAGGATTTGGAAGCTGCTCTTGCTAGTCTCGGGGCTTCCGTAACTGAGAGCAGGGCAGTCTCCGTTGAGTGGGTGCTTTTGTAAGTTAGGCTACTTCAGTCTTTGGAAACTGACCAGACTATGACATCTTTGTCAACTGAAAAAAATAAAATGTATGTATGTCTTGATGCCAGATCCTACCATCACAGGTTTTGGTTAAAGTGTTTGTCAGTTATTCAAACTTTGGTAGATGTTCAATGGTAAGTGATTCCACTTGTTACAAAGTTCCTGCAGCGATGATGAGTGAAAGAACTTAACTGACTTGGTATTGCTGCCCTTTGGCATCATTGACCAAGAGCTGATTGACTAAGTTTAATCTTCTCTCTGAGCTGCTGACATGTGTTGCGTTCGAGCAGAGAGCCAGTTTGCGTCCTCCTGGGACGTTCGTACTTGCGAGTTGACAATTTGTAATTACGACATCAGGTGCGTTCAAGTCAGTTAAGTCGGCACAAGATGGCGGTGTACCTCTTTAATTACAAGACAATACAACCGGGTCTGTTAACTCTGCTTATAGAAAATGAAGAGCAAAGAATTCGCGTCCGGGTGTTTTATGAAGCCACTTTAATCTGTATTGCGTAAACTTAATACAATCCTGCCACATTCAAAAAGTTTTTTTTTTTTTTTTGGGGGGGTGTAAATTTGTCACTGCTTCATACCTATAAGTATTGTGATTTGTTTGACTTTGGCAGTCTCCCTCTGTCAGACATGCGGAAAAATTTACTGTCAACTACAGACGTTGCATCCATCGATTCCGCCATGTTTCTCATTGACACGCCCCTAACTCGGAAACTCTGGGGAGTCGGGGCTTAAAGAGAATTTTCACGTTTCTCACTCGTA